AAACGCTATAACTAGTGAGTGAAAGAAAAATATAATAAATATCTACTTAATTAAGATACCATAGATGCAGCATACATAGACCTCTCCCCATCAACTAGAGTGGAGACCAAAGTACACTAATCTGGTGAAGAAAATGAATGATTACCAGATTTGTCATGAAAAATCTTTTCTCCACATAGAGATCTAAATGTGACTGGTATTTCGTAATTCATAGCGGGTCGTGTGACTCGACTCCACACTCTAGCTTGTTTGTCTTGAACTCGATCTTCCCCCATCGAATTCGAGACAAACAATAGAGTGTGGATATTGTTGCGTTCCATGGCAGATCGAGAAATATTGTTGCTTTCCATGGCAGATCTGGTAATCATTTCCGTCACAAAGATTGGTGTCAATCTAGTTGATGAGGAAACTTGTGTATAGAGCCGACACAAACTAATGTATCTCTGTGTCTTTTGGTACATAACATGATGATACATTGTATGATTGTCCATATTGTGTATATATTTTTGTAGAAATCAGCTTCTCATCTCAGTCTCAAACCCGGTGGCCATGTGCCAGGAGATGGAAGAGCAGAGCGGATCACATGGACTCTTCTTACCTCTGTAAAGACTTCATTGAGTCGAGCTGCCTGACTCATCATTACCCGTGACACCTTCTGCACAGATCATAAACAACCAAAGACGTGATAATAATGGAAGAAAACTCCGTCAAAGGAAAAAACATGCGAATGAGCTAAGGAAAATATAAAATTTCAGCATAGGTGATGCCTAACCATTTTTTATTCTTGATTAGGAAATAAATTCCAAGATTATATTAACTACAAAATATAGCCTTGAGTTAAAGCCAGGACGAAGTAAACCAAACTTGAAATTCTACACCTCACGTCAGACCAATTGCATCAACACAACATCAAGTAAATCTAAATCCTAAAACGAATTAGCTTACTAACTTCAAACAAAATGAGAACGCAATGTTCAATCAATGAACTTGATAGTTAATATAGTGTACCTTTTCGTCGATTGTAACTCTAAGATTAAACCTTTGAGCAATCTTTTTCATCCCAAGAGAACAAAACCAGAATCAGACCAAGACTAGCTCGAATCCAAAATAGGTTCTTCGAGAACGTCTGATTCGGGCAAACACTTGCTTGCATCATCATAATGAGATACGGTTCCTTATTCATGTGCTATATAGTTGAGAATGCATTACATGTGGAGATATCTAAATGTTCACGTGTCAAATGTGTCTGAAATCTTT